CACTGCAGCCAAGGCTACCCATGAGTTCAACATTACCTACCAGCCCTTCCCTATTGACGAGAACGAGGTCTAACATGGCACCTCTCCTCGTGGGTTCCCCTATGACTTGGATAAGGAAGTTATCCTTAATGCATTCCAGGAATCCCCTGGATTGCTTGTTCCCCGCTGTGTTGTTTTTCCAACTGATGTCGGGGTGGTTAAAATCCCCTATAAGGACCAGGGCTTGTGAACAAGCAGCAACATGTTGTTGAGAACATTCTAATTTGCCTGTATTTACCTGAATTTTTAATTTTTTTTTAAACTCATCCTTCAGTTAAGGTACTCAACTTGTTGCTGTTCAGCCAAACAGTATTATCTCAAACACAGTAGATTTTACATGTGTTCTTTGTATGGATTAAATGCCCCTTGAAGTCACTTTTTTTTAGTGAATAAATCTTTACCTTTATGGGATCTAAACTCTAAAGTGCATGGTGAAGAAAGACTAGGCATAGTTCCTGTTCATCTTATTTCTAAATTTATTAAAAATCCTGTTTAAATAAAATGGTCAACAGTTTAGTACTGCTGTAGATTTAGGAAGAGCTGGAGTGGATGAAGGATTAAGTTCCATGTCTCTTCTGTTAAATGAGAAAAGTTGGTCTTAAACAATGCTCAAAGAAAAATTGTGTTAATTTAAAAAGCACTATTTACTTTCAGTCTTTTACTATGTGATAGTCTTGCAATAATAAACTATGTTGGTTTGGGCTTTTGTGTATATATAATAAGAACTTTCAGGTTTTATTACATCAGTAAATCACAGAGATTATAATGATTTCAGAGCTTGCAGTGCAAATTCCATTGTGCTTACGTATTAGCTATTGTGTTTCTCTGCCATGATAATAGAGCATTGCCTTTATTCTAATTTGTTTCTTCTCATTTTTTTATTTGTGCTTGGAGTTCAGAGTTCCTCAGAGCATGATTAGATTATTCCTATTTCTTGCCAGCTTCTATTTCAGCTGGAGTGAAAAGAGGAAAGAAGAAGTCTTTGCCAACTCTTGCATTAGTTGTGCTGTAAGAATTGTTTGGAAGACTGCATACTCTTCAGGAAAGTCACAAAGTCAGGCAATATGAAAGAATGAAATGTTGTGCCTCTATGTGTTCTACTGAATTGAAGACAACTTCTCCCATTCACTGCTTTCAATGAACGTAAAGTGGTTGTAACATGTCAGACTAAACGTTCTTTTCACAAAATATCCTCTCTGCAGTAACCGGTAGAAAAAGTTGAGGCAGGGCTGTAAGACAGTAAAAACACATTATGATACAGCATCAGCAGCTTACTGTGTCAGTAAGTGCTGTGGTTGAACCATGCATTTCTTTTTCTGTTTTTGAATCTTGAGAGCATCATTGTATGTGTCATAGTTCTTTATGTGAGAAAACCATTTCCCTTATGGTGCTGCTGACTTTATAGATCTCAGGGCTTGTCCCTCTTTGGATTTCTCCCTTTTGCCCTAGCCATCTATTCATTTAATGATCCATATCTGTGATCATCTGGTGGCCTTGGTTAGTACCTTTCTGCTCATATATTATCAATCTCAGATTGGAGATTGTGATGTTTACAACGTACTTGCCCACAGCCTTCAAGATTCAGGCGCACTATGGACACAACCATTTAATGATGTTTCTGATTCACTCTAGACTTGTCCTCAGGCCATTTGCTTTTCCTTTCATCACTACTGAACATCGACGTGACGTTTGCACAGAATTGCCTGCTGTGTAACTAGATTCTCTTTCCAGAGTGCTAACAACTTGCACACAGTCTGACACTCTTCAGGTGTGATTAGGATTGCCTTCTTCACGTGTGCTTTGCTTTTATCTACACAGAATTTAATCTGCCCTTTTCACGGAATCACAGAATGATTTGGGTTGGAAGAGACCTTAAAGATTCTCTAGTTCCAAACCCCCTGCCACAGGCAGGAACACTTTCCACTAGATCAGGATGCTCAAAGCCCCATGCAAACTGGCCTTGGACTTCCAGGGATGGGGCACCCACAGCTTCTCTGGGCAATCCGTTCCAGTGTTTTACCACCCTCATTGTAAAAAATGTCTTCCTTATATCTAATCTAAATCTCCCCTCTTTCATTGAAAGCCATTGCCCCTTGTCCTATCAATACACCCCCTTGTAAAAAGTCCCTCTCCAGCTTTCCTGTAGGCCCCCTTTAAGTACTGGTAGGCTGCAATAAGATCGCCCCGGAGACTTCTCCAGGCTGAACAGCCCCAGTTCACTCAGCCTGTCTTCAAAGTAGAGGTGCTGCAGCCCTCGGATCATCTTCATGGCCCTCTTCTGGACTCAATCCAACAGCTCCATGTCCTTCTTGTGTTGGGGGTCCCACAGCTGAATGCATTACTCCAGGTGGGGTCTCACAAGAGCAGAGGACACGGTTGGCTTTCTGGGCTGCAAGTGCACATTGCTGAGTCATGTTGGGCTTATCAGCCAACACGCCCAAGTGCTTCTCCTCAGGGCTGCTCTCAATCCATTCTCTGTCCAGCCTCTATTTGTACTTGGGATGCCCAGACACATGTGCAGAACCTTTCACTTGGCCTTGTTGAACTTCATGAGCTTCGCGTGGGCCCATCTCTGCAGCTTGCTGTCATGGTCTCTCTGCATGGCATCCCTTTCTTCCAGCATGTTGACCACATCATACAGCTTGATGTCTTACCTAGCCATTCGAAATCATGAGAAATTTTGCAGGCAGCTTTACTTTTACCTTGCTGAATAATTTTAATTTAAATTCAGTAAATCTCACCACCTCCCAAATCACCTCCTTTTCCAGATCATGTATGACTACATTGACCAATGCAGGCCCTTGCACAGATCTGTTCTCCAGGAAACTTTGTTGTCTTTCCCTTTGCGTCCTCGAGTTAAGCACCTTGCTTAGAAATTTTAAAGCCAAGTTCGGATCACATTGAATTGCTTTCATCTAGACATTAACAATTTGAGTTGTAAAAAGATGTTTTTGTCTTGCAATATTGAAAGAAAATAAAATGCTATCTTCAGGAAGAGCTGGTGATTTCAGTGCCATTTTTGTTCTGAACTGTTTTCTCTGTATGAAGACCTATTAGAAGTGTTCAGTAACATCATCTAAAATTGATTAGTACAGTTTTGTATATGTATGATAATACTGGATTCCTGAGTTGATACAATTTTTTTCCATTGCTGCTGTTAATCTGTTGTTGATTATCAAAACCAAAATCATTAGTATAGTGGAGTACATCCTCACTGTGATTTCAGTGGAGCATATCTAATAAACCAAGGCATCAGAAACTGGAATATAATAAAAATGCAGTATTTATGTTAATAGAATTTTTCTGTTAAATGAGTGCTGCTAATGAATCTACTGTGAAGTTGAGCTTGTAGCAAGTCAAGGGTTACAGACGAATTTGCACAACAGGATGAAAGGACTTAGTTTTACAGCAATATTTTGTCATCTGTTAAAAATCTTTTGGATAAAATACATTATACTACTTTAGATAAAACTTACTGTGAAAATTCAGATAGGATAAGTTAAATGTGTAAAGGTAGTTACTGGTTGTTTCACTTAAATGTCATTCTTCATTGTGGATGAACTAAAACTCAAGTGATTCTTTATGGTTAGAGAACATAGGAAAGAGTGGAATGCCAGGGTTTGTTGGGAAGAATACTAATAGCATTCAGCAACCAGCTTCCCTTTCCTTCTTTTGTTTTCAAGGTTATATGTTTTCTTTTTCTTTATTTTCTTATAAGGGGATTTTACTGTGAAATTTTAAACATGAAAATCATGGATTCAACTTTTTCCAGAATAAGTGGAGAATACAAAAGCACCTTACAGAGCACACAGTAGACAGTTTTGAACAAAAGGGGCCAGGAAGGGAGTGTGGCTTGTAACTGGAGAGACAGAGATCTCACCTGATGAGCTGATCTTTTTTCATTATTCAAAATGTAAATTGTAGAGGGAGAAGGAAAAATTATTATTCCAAAGAGCAAATATCCTCACCCAGCCTTTTCGCAGGCACTTTTCTCTGGAATTCAATCCCTAATCATCTGCCTGTCTTGCCAGTGTCCATCTCTTGTCCTCAAGGAAGCCATATTTTGATTTTGCCAGCACTGCTGGTTAAACTGTGACTCAGTAGCCGTGGTGTTGGTTCTTGTTCTCTGTGATAGCAAGGAAATCACCCAAACCCTCATGTCCCAGGTTCTCATCTCATGTGACAAGTAAAATAACCACCTCCCAAGACAGAACAAATGTGCTCTGACAGATTTAGGTGGGAGTTATGTGAATAAGGAGTATTTGAGTTATTTTGTAACTATGTATGTTTTTTCACACGAGTTGCTTTAATGTAACAGACATATCTGTTGTATTAAAGACAAATTTAAGAGAACTTAAGGTAGTTCTCAGAACTAGGCTGTTGCTTTTCTCTGTTATGTGTCTGTAGCCTCAAAAATGCTGACCTGATTAAGACTGGTAGCTATGTTTGCCCAAGCAGAGTCATTTGGGGCCTGAATGAGGTGGGAGGGAGATTCTAGAAATTTTGGATTAAAATTCTGTTTTTCTAAATATGAAAATGTGTATTTCTTATACATGCTGATGGATTTTAAATAATTGTCATGGTTCTTAGCTTTGTTAGGAGTTATTTAAATTTATTGCCCTATGCTTATGATTACTTCTAGTAGCAAAACATCTGTTCTAGAAAGAATTGCAGTAAAATGAGCTAAATGTTTGAATCCGAGACATTGTGTCATCAGACCTCACCTCTCTTGATTTCCTCAGTGTATAAAAGACAAGCTTCAATACTCATCACAAAATCTGATTATAGCTCAAGCTTACAACACCTCCTTGAACAACATTTTCTATCTAATTAGCACATTTTCCTTATATATTAATTACAGATCAGTCTGTTTGCACATGAAAAAGAGCAGCCTCTTCTCCTTTATCTGCTACTCATGGGAAATAATTTTGTATATCTGCAGTTAGTAGGTGTTAGTTTAGCAAAGAGCAGCGGGTCTTAAATGTACTTACGATGTTACTATTTTACTCCTCCATATCACTTCCCGTTTAAGAATACATATTTATCACATTAATTAAATAATGAGCTAAGTTTTCTTTTAGGGAGGAAACCGAGTCAGAGAAAGCTTTATAATTTGCTTACAGTTTAGCTGTTAGCACAGGAAAGTATAAAGCCCAGATACTTTAAATGCTAGAGCTGTGCTTCAGCCATTAAATGCACGTCTTCACTGTTTAGAAGATATTACAATTGCTAATTTGACAGAAGTAGAATGTCTTTTCTTGCCACAGAAATGAGTTGGAAATTACTCAGGACGAGTTATACTAGCATGATCTACAGTTTAGTTGACATACCCTATTTTATGTGCTCCTGCCAACACACGTATTCCAATGGTTGTATTTCAGTCATTGAATTCTTTGTCCACATGGAAAAAAAAATGGTTGTGTTGAAATTAAGTCCATTCAGTTTTTGAATGTTAAGTAGCACTGTCCTTTTGCGTATGTCTCTTGGAAACACAAGCAACTTTGTGCTCCTTAAATATAAATCCAGGGTCCTCTTGAAAAACATCATCAGTGTTGCTAACCTTTCAGTAAGGATCTATGCTAGTAAGGGTTGAGCTGTAGGTGAACATTTAGTGTTTCTTGTATAGCAGCATTCAGCCTGCACCTAGGAACTCAGAAATATTACCTACAGACCTACAGTTAAGTGTTTTGTTTACTTTTGCAGTTTGATGAAATAAAGATAAACCTAAGATATCTGCCTTTCTTTTTAGGTAGAGGACAATATTTACTTACTCTGGACAGTAGTGAAACTGAGACCAAAAAGGTGTAAATAATTCCTACTGAATATTTTAAAGGTCTATGCCTAAAACCAGCCATGATATATAAGAATTAGTAATGATCAACAGTAACAATATGGGTCCTTTTGTGGCTAGAAGTGCTTCCCCTTAATGTCTTTTTTCTCTCTCTCTCTCTCTCTCTCTTTTTAGATGCAGCAATTGTTCCATGAAAATTATGAACACAACCGGAAGGGTTACATTCAAGATCTTCACAACAGCAAGATTCACACAGCCATAACACTTCATCCAAACAAAAGACCAGCCTACCAATACAGACTGCACAATTACATATTGAGCAGCAAAATTTCCGAACTGCGCTATCGGACCATCCAGCTCCATAGGGAAAGTGCCCTAATGAGCCAGCTCAGTAACAGTGAGTTAAATAAGGAAGATAAGCAACTGGGAGTGATGCCATCTTTCAATCATTTCCAGCCACGTGAAAGAAGTGAAGTCATCGAGTGGGAGTTCCTGACAGGAAAATTTCTTTACTCAATGATGGAGAACCAGCCACCCCGGCAGAGCCTGAGCAGTGTCCTGCGGGCTGCACTGGACGACACCGTGATGCAAGTCATGGAAATGATAAATGAGAACTCTAGATCTAGAGGGAGGCTCATTGATTTCAAGGAAATACAGTATGGCTACCGCAGGGTGGACCCTCTGCATGGAGTGGAGTACATCCTGGATTTACTGCTTTTGTACAAAAGGCACAAAGGAAGGAAAGTTACGGTTCCGGTGAGACGCCACGCTTACCTTCAGCAATTGTTTAGCAAACCTTTCTTCAGAGAAGCAGAGGAGCTGGATGTAAGAAGCCTGCTGGAGGATACCAACACTGACACTCCATCTTTCTCTTTTCTTTCAAGCTCTTTAAAGATCTTTTCCTCATCATTCCAACGCACCCAAGACATTGGGGGACGCAGTGACAAGAAAATACATATTCTTGTCCCTCTCACAGGAAGATTTGACATTTTCTCAAGATTTATGGATAACTTTGAGAAGACTTGTCTGATTCCCAGACAGAATGTAAAGTTGGCAATAATTCTCTTCAGTTCTGAGTTGGGCCAAGACTCCAGCAAACACATAGAACTAATGAAAGAATACAGCATTAAGTATCCTAAGGCAGATATGACTCTGATCCCGATGGCAGGAAGGTTTTCTAGAGGTTTAGGTCTTGAAATGGCCTCATCTCGATTTGACAATGGCACTTTGCTGCTATTCTGTGATGTTGATCTGATATTCACACCAGACTTCCTCCAGCGATGCAGAGATAACACTATTCAGGGAGAACAGGTTTACTACCCTATCATCTTTAGTCAGTATGATCCAAAAGTAATATATGGAGGCAACCCTCCAGCTGACAGTAGTTTTATTTTCACAAAAAGAACTGGATTTTGGAGGGAGTATGGATTTGGAATTACCTGTATTTACAAAAGTGATCTACTTACTGCTGGTGGATTTGATACCTCAATTCAAGGCTGGGGACTTGAGGACGTAGACCTCTTTACTAAAGTGATAACATCTGGCTTGAAGGCTTTCAGAAGTCAAGAAGTAGGAGTCGTCCATATTTTTCATCCAGTTCAGTGTGACCCCAATTTAGACCCGAAACAATATAAAATGTGCTTAGGGTCCAAAGCAAGTACATTTGCCTCTACCATGCAGCTTGCTGAACTCTGGCTACAGAAACATTTGGGTGTCAGGTACAATCGAACTCTCTCCTGACATCTCAGCCCATTTGACTTTTTTAGAGGAGGTTACCTCATTATTGTTATTGTTATTTGATTTTGCTGTCATAGTTTTAAACTCCCTCCTCGTTGTCTTCCAAAGACTGTTGACCTCGAACAGGATGAGTCTGCTGTTCACTGATGTTTCTTACACCTACTGAACTGGTGAGGTGAATTCCTTCATACTTCCTTTATTTGAAATTCAGTCAAGTCATGGCAATCATATGATCCCATGGAGCACATCTATGACAAGAGACTGCATCAGAATAATGTTGTCTTTCAGCTTTGGGATGCAGTATCATCTTTGTTGCATTTTTCAAATTTGATGTGATACAAATATTTACTGGTGAAGGTACCACAAAAGTGCTTTATGCTTCTTCTGGGGATGGAACTCTATAAGATAAACTTGAGTTTTATAATTTATATGAGGACTTATATGTATAAATACTACTTTTCTTCATCTTTAGAATTTTTAAAGTAAATGAATAACTATTGTACTTTTATTTTTAAAAAAAAAAAAAAAGAAAAGAAAAGCTGAGGAGCTACTTGCAAATACGACCGGTACTGGCTACCAAGGTCAAGGTCCTTAAATGTCTCAGTATAGTATCAAACTCTTCGTTGTTCACTCTATTTGTAAATGAACTTTATTTTCACAAGGAACAGGATTTAATGAAATGCTCATGTACACTTGAGAAGATTTGTGAACCAACGTCCTTCATTTGGAGGCAAAAAGAAGTTATAACTTAACATGGTTATTTATGATAAAGTGCAGGCATACAGTATTCTTTGTTTGAAACGCATAGATAAGTTGCTGTTCCTCTTTTTAGAATGAGTCTCTAATACATCATTTTCTTTTACATTCCTTTCATAAAGCTGCACTTGATACAGTGTTAGAATTTTTTTTTTTTTTTTTTACATTTTCCATGAATATTGGTACTCAGTAGCAGTTTGTTGTTAAAATTACTGTAGAATAATTATTTAAGTTTCAAAATTTACTATTGCTGGTCAAAGTTCCTTGCCAATATATTTATATTAGTGGAGGTTATAAGGCTACGTTAAGATTTATGTCTCTGAACAGCCTGAAGTTGTCATATTGTGGATTCACAGAGTAAAGCATTTAAAATGATACCAACATAAGACATAATAAAATCCATTTCTGTATTTTAGAGAAATGTTTATATAGGGATATATATGTGTGTGTGTATGTGTGTGTGTGTATGTATATCCCTATGTAGAGAGAGAGAGAGAGAGTGTTTTCAAAATACATTCCTCTTTTCAGTTCAGGCAGTGATTTGTTTCAATCATCATTACTTCTGCCACGTGCTTGGAACATTTCATGTAATACTGTGGTAAGAGGTCAAAGACATCCAAGAAACTGTCAGAATTCAGCCAAACTAAAATTGATACAGCAGGTACATCTAATAACCTCAGTACCCTTGATTTCAAACTATATTTCAAATAGACGTGGACAAGAAAAAGTAAGCAATTATTGAATTTAAGTTTCCAAATCCTTAAATACGTTTTCAGCTGTAATTGAGTCCTTCTGTGTTTCCTTTCAAAAGCCAACTGAGAGGTTGGAATTCCTGCTACATCTATTTATATGAAGATACCGTGATAAAGTTCGTAAGGCACCAAGAGGGTGTGTAGGTCAGTTAATGTCTCTTATCTGCGGTTCTCTGTTCTGGATTTACCATGCAAGGAAGAAGGCATCCCTTAAAAGGAGTGAGTAAACTCAGAATTAAAGGATTAGCCATAGGGTTTTGTATGCTTTAAAAAAGGCCATCCTCATTGCCTTTGGAGAAGGTAGTAATTGTGGTAGATGCGAACGCATAGAAGGTAATTCACACTTGTTTGCTCTCCTTAAGGAGAGCTCCTGGCTTGTGCTCCATGAGACTCTTGCCTTCCTAGCTCAGTATTGTTAGCACAAATGTCTGGACAAAGTAAAATGCAGTATTGCTTATAAAATAATTATTGGAAACCACTCTTTAAATTGAGTGCAAAGGTCACACTTTGTTCAATTAGAGAGCCAAGAACAAGAAACACAATTTGTTTGATCAATCTTGACTAACTGATGCAACTCAGATTGTAAATATCAAAACTGAATGCCTGTTGATAAATGTTTGTGATGATTTCATAAACATGAAAAAAAAAAAATTTACAAGGACATCTAAGGAAATCATTGTCTGCTGGGATGTATTCCAGTGCTTATTTCAATTACTTTACTTAGTGACCAGAAAGTATTTGCTCAGCTCAAAGTAAAATAGTAGATTAAAAGAAGAAATTAAACCAATCATTCAGTGGGGATAAAGATATATACAGAGGGCTTGCAGGATCAGGTCCTACATGATATAAGCAAAATGCTAGTATTTACCAGTACAATATTTATTTAGTGTCTGACTGATTCATTTGTTTATATGATGAATTACTTTGTTAAAAACCTGATTATAAATGTTTATTATGAAATATTGCATTGTCTTTTGAAATAACTATCCTGAGATAACTTGAGAACTTGTGTTAGTTTGTTTAAAGAACAATATGCCTTCTAAGGAGATCATATTAAAAGGAAAAAAAAGAAAGCACAAAAGTGTTAGAGTAATATTATAGATGTATAGATTAAGATGGGAATATCTGTGCTAATCCACTGTTTGCTTTTGTCTAGTCTGAATCATACTCTTGATTGTAAAATGAAATATCTGTGTGAATGATGTCCCTTTGTCAATGCGTAACTCATGAATTTGCAATAGAACATAATGGCCAAAACCTCCTTACCCTGGGAATAGGTTCCCTGGTTTCCTTGCTGGGAGGTGAGTTGCAAACTGCTCGCACTTTGGCTTTCTCAAAAAAAAAATATCTCAACGGTCCTCACACAGAAACCTCGGAAATTCCCATGCTGCCCCTATTGTTACATGTTTTCCCATTCACAGTACTTTATTTAACAGAGCATTTGCATCTTCTGGATGAAGGAAGAGCATCAGGTTGGGCTTCCTAAGACTTGCTGAGTATAGTCTGCATCAAGGTACTGGTTCTGAAGCCAGAGAAAGGCAGAGGGCAGTGGGAGTCACTGCCTTCTGCCCAAGTCACCTCCTTGCTGCCACCAGCGCTGCCAGATGCCTCTTCCTTGGAGCTGCAAACAGACAGCACAAGCCAGTGCAGGAGAGGAGCTGCACTTGCTGCCACCAGTTCCTCTTGGGAAGCAAAAGGGCCATTTTAATCAGGGCTTGAGAGGAGTGAAAGGAGGATGCCAAAGTGAGGTTCCATTGGGTGGAGGCAGCAGGGTATCTTGAGCAGATCCTGTGTCTCCCTGTCCCTGGGTGGAACAGGATCCTGTTTGCTCTCATGGGCCGTTGTGAAGGAGAGGGCAAAACCACCAGTCCTGCCTCTCAGTAGAGGGCTAGTAGACCTGGACCATGCTTTTGGAGTCCTACCATATCATGGGACATGTGGGGAAAAGGTGCCAAACGGTCTTCCTAAAAAGCAGTACAGAGAGAGGTACCTTCTGCACTCACTAGAGACCAGAAGGAGGTGCACAAAAGTGCCTTTTTGGAGCCTTTGTACCAGTGTGTGCTTACCAGTGCCTCAAGACTCTTACAAAAATTACGATGCTGGTAGAATGGCTCATAGGAGTATACTGTAGATCCTGAGGAAAGGTGGATACTTCCAAGGAGCATGAGTTAGCAACCACTTTCTTTAAATAGAGAAAATAATTTAAACTTTTGGTTTCTTAAGAAATCATTCTAGTGATTAGTTAAGATGTAGTTTGCCACACAGAAGATTTTGCTCGAAAGAACAGTGCTAGCTTTAAGGTACAGACAAAACACATGTGCAGTCTGCATCTGATTTTCCTGCAACTTGAAATTGGTTAAATTTTTGGAAAAAAATATGGACTAAGAATTGGTGAGCCACTGACTGGAGGAAAGTTTTATGTTTCTGCGCTATTTTTAAAGGAGAATCAGGTGAGAAGAAAACAAAAAATGCCTATAGTAGATACACACAAAAATCAGCCATGATGTGAGGGTAGCACTGATGATCATGGTCCTAAACTGCAGCACAGTGAGATGTTTCACAAAAATCTAACTATTTACAATAACTGAGTGTCATTGAAGGTTATACTCTGTCATAAGTCTGTCAGTAACATAAACAGTTAAATCAGACCATTTTAATTTCTTTCATTTCTTAGAATAGTTTTCTTTACGTGTTCTTCTGTCAGCATTTATTCACTTGATTAATAAGCTGGCTTTTCATGACTCTCTCCTTCCTATTTTTCTTTTCCTCAGGTCTTCCCATTTGCAATATATATTACTACAGTATTTCAAACTTTTTGAGCCAGCATGATATTTCTGTTATGGTTTTACAATGTCGTTGCCATATAAAACTGCTGAACTAGAGTATTTTGCTGAATGAGTTTCCAGTACTGCTTCAGATTGTTTCCATTTGCTTGTCATTGTAAGTTAAAAGTGTTCTGAATATTATTACTTCGTCCCTTCCTCTGGTCTCCTTCTTACTGGAATTGCACCAACGCAAGAAAATGCAAAAACTTTACAATCCTTAAGTCTAGGAAAATTAATATAATCTGGGAATTTTCTTGATCATTTTGTTTGTTTGTTTGTTTGTTTATTTGGGATTTCTTTGTCTTCAAATATTTATCATATGTAGCATATTTATCAGCTCCATAATCTTAATAAAATAAGGTTATTAAGATCTAAGACAGCATATATATGGACTATATGATACAAACTGTAATTTTACATTGTCATTTTCTAGACATGTAATGTATTCAACTGATATTTGCCATTTATGGTAACTTTGAAGATAAATTAAAAGTGTCCTTACTGATTTAGTGATTATTTAGCATTAGTGGAAAGCTTAACCATGTAGGCAGAGATCAAAAGATGTACTATATAGCGTAGGCTGCTGAGTTTTGTTTCTTTTTTAGTGCTGGTGGGAAGATCTCCTCAGCTCTGCATAGGATGCCTGCAGTGTGGTAGCGTTCTTCACTAATCAGCTGTGACTAGCAATGATTCTAAGTGACTGCAAAGCCACAGGCACAGCAGGCAAGACTTACTGAACTTACCCAAACATGTGGGAGACTGATCCTCCAATTCAGAGGGACTCTGGTGTGGCATAATCAGATGATAGGTACACAGGTCAAATATATCTGCTACCACAACTTCTGGGCACACTCACTGAAGACATCACTTTAAAAGAGAGGCCTCAGCAATGCAATGGGCTCTGTGAAGATATTCCTAAAAGAGTTGTATGCTAGTTAATGTAGGTGCCAAAGACTTTTACTTAGAGCAGGTAAATTGCCTTTATTAGATTTCATCAAAAAAAGGATAGCACAAAATGATGAAAAGAAAAGTGCTTATGTTTGAGATCCTGAACATTTTTATTATTGGTTATTTGGGAAGCCTTCATGACTTGCTCTCACCCTTGCTTGGTGTAATATGGAACAATAAACTATGTTATTTTACGCATTCATCCATACACTGTTGACTAAAGAAGAGATAAGCTGACTAAATG